AAGTCGTCTGTTATGATCTTTGATGTTGCCTTTTTTTTTTTCGCTTTGTTTTGCAGCAAATGTTTCTTTCTGCAAACAAACACTAAGATTTATCGTAAGGTTGAAACTTTCTATTTTCCTGTTAATACTTTTCTGCAGTTGCTTCAAATTCTCAGACAGAATTGTTTTCAGACAGTAATTTTATACTGAAAATTGCACGAGTCAAGTTGCTGACGATGGCAGTAGAAATGAGTTAGGAGCTGCGCGAATGTTTGTCTATAAGTTGAAAAAATTAATAAATAAGTAAATTTATAAATATGTAAATAAGTATACATTGAATTCTAAGTGTTTTTTTTTTATTGCTCTTTATCGAATAAAATAAAACACAATGAAAAGAGAAAAAAAAAGCAAAAACAAATTGGTTTCACTTCGCTTTTTGTGCTGTTTTGTTTTAGAAGACAATTTGATTTTCGCAACGTTCTTTTTCACTTTTTAATTCTTTGTCAATGCTGTCTGCCCGTCGATTTAATGATAAAACTGTAAACCAAAAACATTTTACAAGTTTTTACAGTAGCAACACACTCAGATACTTCTTTTTTTGAATGGAAGAGGGGCAGAGGTGAAGAGGAGAATGTTACGAGGTAAAAAGAGGAGAATTTAATGCAAAGAAAGGAAGGGAACAAACAAAAGATAAATTTCAACTTGAAATAAGTATTTTCTTGTTTATTTATTTTTACACCTTACAAAAGTAACAGTTTTACTAGCGGAATATACTTGGTAGTAGGCTCTTAAGTTTAAACTAGTTGTAAATGTCAATTTTTTTTTAAACAGAAAAGAGTTTGTAGAAGAAAGGCAGCTTTATGCTTTTCGAGATGTTAATTGTATAAGAAACAACAGCAGAAGCAATTTGTTTGACAAAGTTTTGTTTTTCAGCTCTGCTTTACTTTTTTAATTACTTGTCAGAAGAAATTTTTGTTTATTGAAAACTTGAAAAGCAGCAAGAAGAAATTTATTTATACTTTTGCTGCTGTTAGTGGCTTTTTTCTTCTTTAGTATTTCTCCTCTTC